CTTCATCAGAAAAGACCCTTTTCTGATGAAGGGTCTAGGCCCGAAACGTCAGCCTTTCTGCTCCTATGATGCTGCTTGGCCTGCTGTGTTCATCCAGCCCTGCACATTATTTGATGTTGAGCAGGACTCCCCCTGTTCTGACAATATGCTGTTTATCTGACGTTAGCTGCAGCTTCAAGTGTTTTGACCACACCCTCTGTCACCTCAAGGCTCTGTAACCCCAGGGTCGCTGTCTTCTCTAAGTTTGAGCAAAGTGCTGCAGCCTGTGTCCTAACTTACATCCAGCTCCATTCAACCCACATGTGTTCTATAAAATCATAAGACATAAAGTCATACAGCTATACAGCATGGAAACAAACCCTTCAGTCCAACTTGTCCATGCTAACCAGATATCCTAAATTAATCTAATCCCATTTGCCAGCATTTGGCCCTTATCCTTCTAAACCCTTCCTATTCATGTACTCACCCAAATGCCTTTTAAATGTTGTAATTGTACCAGCCTCCACCACCTTTACTTTGAAATTCACAATGAAGCATGCACATTTCTTATTGCCTTGCCCCTCTCCATTTCTGTAAACACCTCCAGCCCCGTGACTAATCAAGTTTCTCTGCTCTCCTTAGATTCTGTCCTCTTGCATAGTCCTGATTTTCATCACCTCACCATCAGTGGGTATTCCTTCAGCTGCCTGGGCTCTCCAAGGTCCGGAACTCCCTCCACAAATCTCTCTGCTTCTTTATTTCTTCATGTTTTCCCATAAAATCTACCTGTTCGACCAAACCTTTGGTCATGGCTTTCTGTCTGGCTCAGGGTCAGTTTTACGGTGTTAAAGGTGTGATACGAATGTAACTTGATTTGAATGTTTTCAGTCATAGGATATCTGTGCAGAGGGAGATATACCATGTGTGCTGTTTGCAAAGAACAATGGTTTTGTTTTGACAAAGTATTGGGAGGCCATTGAGGAAGGGTAGGGGGAGGGGTGACTGGTTGTAATGAGCGCCTATGTCCGGCTATTCAAGGAAGTTGATGGGATACAGGTTGAGCAAATGGACTGAAAACTGCACCCATCAATGTTACAGCGCCCCTTAGTCCTCTTCTGGTATCAATGTGTTTTTCAAACCTATGCTCATTCAACTTTTGCATTGATTACAGCGATTCACCACCATCCCCTCAAGAGCATCAGTGACGGAAAATAAATGCTGGCCCAACCAGCAAAACCCATACTCTGTGAAAACATAAAATAAAAACTATACTGTCAACATTCTGGTGGCATTTCACAGGGAGTTCCCGATCAGCCATTAGACACTGGCTGAAATTCTCAGGAAAATGTGTTTCCCATTTTTACACCAAACTTATAGAGAGAGGAAGAAATTCAGTGGAAAATATTGCAGACCTGTTTAAACTGAATACAATTATGATAAAGTCTGATTAAACAGGTGGATAGAAAGAGAGACCCTAACTGTAAGTCTGTATATCCATGTGGTCATCTATCTCAGTGGAAGATTAGATCTTAAAAGAAAAAAAAAGTTTTAAAAGGCTACTGGATAAAAATGAAGGAATTAATTCTTGACATGTACATCATTCTTACTTTTTCAATTGTGTGTCAGAAAACTCAGATTGATAGTGTCTTCTTCATTGCCTTGCCATTTCAAATTCAAAATATATCCTTCCCCTTTTTATCTAGGGAGGTCTGACTCTCCACCAATTCTCCCCCACCCCAAAAGTTATGATTTATTGCAGGGGGACAGTCCCATAGCAGGCTCTGTGATCTCATCCAAATGTTATTTTTCATTTGAGAGTTTAATGGCATCCAACTACTTGGAGACAAAAAAAGCAACTCAGCCCAAATTTTTGCAAATGTACAAACAATAATGTGGTGTTTCTGGATAGCAACCAGCAGCAAGAACTCTTGCTCCTATTTCCTCTTCCCTTGCCATTCGTACTAGACACAAACACAACACTGTCGTTGCTCTTACTAGCTGGGATCTGCTAACTCCATTCAGACAGGAGGTCGAGACTGACACCTTATGTGGCTCAATACCACAAAGCAAAGTGTCTTAATCTGAATTGCTGATTGTGGGGGGAGCCAAAACGCTAGGATTTTAAACGATATTGAAATAAAATGGAAACCATAAACCTATTTGCTTTTAAAATCCTGTCCCAACAGTTCTTGTTTGTAAAAAGGAAAGAAAAGCATTTGTCACATTTGGCATCAGTGGAATTTCATGACAAACTGATGGGGAACAATCTGCCTTCGAGTTGGAATTGGCATCGCTCCTTTCCCTTACTCACCAGAGTGGTCCAACTAATCCCCTGGATCGGCGTGCAAGCTCAGCCAAGGACAAGCTTAGAACTTGAGCTCTCCAATTAGGAAGAGGCTCTGTCTACAGGGAAGCATAAGTATTTGTTTGCCCATTTTGATGCCAATCAAGTCCTCAGTTCATGACAGTGGGACTTCATCACCATCTGTCAAAATGCTGTGGCACAAATTTTGTGCACAACATGACTAGCACAAGTAACAGTTTCCAAATAACAATAAATTCATTAAAACATTTAATATTTGGACAAATTCATGAACCCAACCTCTTTGATCTATTTGTCTCCAGCACAGGCAAGTGAACCGCTTTTATGAGGTCTTTCACAAATCAATTGTGACATGTCTGAACGTACGCAATCATTTCTACTCTTTTAATACGGTTGGCGTAAAAGTGGGTATTGTCCTTGATATTTTTTAAAATCTGTCCTTGGGATGGAAGTGTTGCTGGCTGGGCCAACAGTTATTGTCTGTCCCTAATTGCCCTTGAGAAGGTGGTATGTGAGTCACTTTCTTGAACTACTGCAGTTGGTGTCATAATGCTGTTATATTGGGATTCTAGGATTTTGACCCAGTGACAGTGAAGGAGCCATGTCCACTGTCTATGTTAAGGATGGTGTGTGATTTAAAGGGGAGTGTCGAGATGGTTGTGTTCTCATGGCACCTGCTGACATTGTCAATCCAGGTGACAAAGATGAATGTTTAAGACAAATGAAACGAGTTAGCATTTTGTTTTGTATCTGATGGAGATTAGAATCTGATGATGCATTTGTCCAATCATGTGGCAAACATGGCACTGCACAGAAAACCACACGCAGCTGTTACGAGCTTAGCTTCTTTCCTTCTCAATCAAAGCAACAGATCCAAGTGTGACAGGCACATCTCTCCACTCACATCCTCCACATCACACCCAAGCCGCTGCAGCCTCTCCCACTTCATGCGACATGCCAATTTTCAGAGGGAAATACTTGGAAACCAGGAGCTTTTTTTTTGAAACAATAGTGCCGGTAAAGGGACAAGCAATGCATTCTGAACAAGAAGAAGCCTCCAACCTTACCAAAAGCTTTCTAGCTCCTTGTAAGCAGAAGATAAAAGATATTGAGTGCTTGGGGATGCATCGTTAGAAAGATCCCCAAACAAATTCGCAATCTCAAACAATAAAATTCATGAAAGACTTTGAGCTCCCTTTAAAAACTTTTCTACGTGTAAAACTAATGGGAGGGAAAGGGATGGCAGCATGTAAAACTATCAGCTCCATTTTATCCATGTATTTTATTTTAATATGTTGAGAAAGTTGCATTCTTAAGAGCAAATCCTTCTGGGTCAGGAAAGACCTGACCTTTCCCCTCAGTTGACAACTTCTCCTGACCCTAGTCCAGCAGGGTCATATTCAAGGTCCGAAGAGCCCTCACAGATAAGGTCAGAGGTCGAACTCGCAGGACGCGCCGCTCCGACTCTGATTGGACAGTTTCCGAGACAAGACAAAAAGAGGTGATCATCGGTGAGACACTGCATACGAGAAAACACATTTGAAACAAAAACACTTGAAAATGCAACGAGGGAAACATGGTGATGGGACAGTGGTCTGGCACTACCAAATGTAATGGGCACGTAGAACAAAGTGACATGATGGCAAATGGGTTCAAAGGAGAAATGAGATAGCGTTGAACAGGAACTATATCGGAACATTAATCCTACTTCACTTCTGTCAAGTTCTGAAGGCAACATTTAGAACACACAAGATGGAATTCTTTTTAAAGTCACAGTGATGCAATATGCAATACTTTTTACAGAAGTCTTGGCAACAGGCAAAGTATTTAGATTGCTCGGCAAGGCGAGCACTTACCGCAAGGACCCTTATATTTGACTGGAATGCTGGTTTTCTGCCGACACTCGGCTTGCTTACGCTCACAGTCATTGCTGTAGCTTTGATTGTCCTCTCCACAGACAGGTCTGTAAGCTCCGTCACAAATGATGCGGTCACAGGAGCAACGCGTAATGCCCCTTCGGTTGAGGCACACTGCATTGAACTGACACTCTTCTTGGCACTTGTCTGTAATCGAAACAGTGAGATTTTAATCCTTCAGTAAAACACGCTGCAGTGGACAAACACTTGAGACACCTCAACATCTCAGCTTGGTAAATGTCCTTTAATAATTGGGGTGGCACGGTGGCTCATTGGTTAGCACTGCTGCCTCACAGCACCAGGGACCCAGGTTTGATTCCACCCTCAGGTGACTGTCTGTGCAGAGTTTGCACATTCTCCCCGTGTCTGCGTGGGTTTCCTCCAGGTGCTCTGGTTTCCTCCCGCAGTCCAAAGATGTGCAGGCTAGGTGGATTGGCCATGCTAAATTGCCTGTAGTGCTCAGGGGTATGTAGATTAGGTGGGTTATAGGGGGATGGGTCTGGGTGGGATGCTCTAAGGGTCAGTGTGGATTTGTTGGGCCAAAGGGCCTGTTTCCACACTGTAGGAATTCTGTGATAACTAGTCAACTAGCTGAAGGAACAATGGTAAATCTATACATGCCACCTTTTAGGATGTTGTGTCCTGTTTTGAGTGGACATCAGTGTGCAAAGATTCCAATTTGCACAGGAAACAGTCACTAAGATATTGGGAATGAGAGGCTTTAGTCTCAGAGAGAGACAAGGAAACTGGCTTCATTTCATCAAAGCAAAGGTTAAGAGGGGATTTCTAGAGGATTACATGGGATACACAGCACAGGTACATATGATAACGTATAAAATTCTCAAAATTTTATGAACTGAAGTAGGAAATATAAATTCCACCGGTCAGGTGGTCTGTAATTAAGTTCACCACTGATTGAAAGGAAAATCCAGAGAACAAAATTATACGTGAGATTTTTTGGAATGTGGAATATGCAAACAGATACAGAAACGGCATTCTTAATAAAAGGAAAAAATTGAAAAGATATGGAAAATGGGTAGGAGATTGGATTAGATGAGTAACTACAGACAGGGATCATTTTGAAGAAGGGTCACCGGACCTGTAACGTTAACACTGATTTCTCTCCACAGGTGCTGCCAAACCTGCTGAGATTTTCCAGCTATTTCTGTTTTTGTTTCTGATTTCCAGCATCCGCAGTTCTTTCATTTTGTTTTTATTTTGACTTCCATCTATGCCCTGATATTCCTTGATCCTGTATTCACATTGAAGTCTCAGAAACGGAGGTATGACTACAAATATGCACCTCGTGCAGCAAGAGGAGTTCAGGCTACAACAGAATAGCAGGGGATGGGTTTCCAAAGCTGCATTTCACAGGGAGGTGGCAAGGGAAGGCTAGAGATAGCCCTGTTAGGTTGGTAAAGAGGGATTAATATGGAGTTGCTATGTGTCAGATATCAATAGTGGTATTTCTTTACCTCAGAATGTTCCAAAGTGCATCATGGCTAATATTTTAAAGTGCTTTGACTGTTCCAATGTTGAGAGTAGCTAATTTTCACTCAGTAAGACCCCACAAACTTAAGAGATTAAAGACCAGACAATTTGTTTTCAGTGATATTGGTTGAGGCATAAATATTGGTCAGGCTGCACTGTTGAATCTCTTCCATTCACCTGAAGGGGCAAATGGCGTATCTTATGGGCTGGACTTCACACAGTGCAGCACTCCCTCGCTACATCGCTGAAATGTCAGCTTAGGTATGTGGGTAAGTCACTGGAGTAATGGCTTGATTGCATTATTTTCTAGCTCAGGAGCAAGAATGAAATGGAGGTATAACTGCAAATATCCACCTCATGCAGCAAGAGGAGTTCAGGCTACAACACAATGGCAGGGCATGGGTTTCCAAAGCTGCATTTCACAGGGAGGTGGCAAGGGAAGTCTAGAGATCACCCGGTTAGGGTGATCTGAGCTAAGGGGGAGACTCACGTGAGCAGTGCATAATGTAAGGTTGGGGGGGGGGGGGGGGGGGGGG